AAAGAAAGAAAGAAAGAAAGAAAGAAAGAAAGAAAGAAAGAAAGAAAGAAAGAAAGAGGGAGAAAGAGAGAGAGAGATATTGAGAGAGAGAGAAAGAAACAAAGAAAGAGAAAAAGAAACAAAGAAAGAAGAAACAAATCAGTTGTGAGTGGTAGCAGCAGACCTGGAGGTAGAAGGTTCAAATCACTACCATGAGATATGTAATGAAATTTTAGCATATTTAATTCAATTAAGTCATATTTCTCTCATTCATATGAGTTCTGTACAGCTCTTAGTTTTCTAGAGTATATATATATATATATATATATATATATATATCTGGTGTACAGCCAAAAAACTGAGGACTAAGGATGTAGGTCAGTGTTGGAGCACTGGTTTCAAGTCCCCAATTTAAAAAAAATCACATCCATATTTCAATTGCTGTGTATCAGAAATAGAGAAATATCAGGAAAACACAGAGTAGGCATTTTGGATCTCAGCAGATGGTACATTTGAAGGAAAGGTGACCCACAGGATAGCACTGGGTGACCTTTTGTGTGTGTGAAAATTTGTGTTCAAAGTTCAGTGAGTGCTGCTGAAATATAATAAAGCAAACAAAAACTAGGGTTTTTTTCCATGTTGTTAAAATTAATTAAAGAACATATAAAAGCAAATTTTGGAGTCATAAAAATAAAATCTAACCACTACCTGCAAATTAAGCATTTTACTAGAGAGGAAGAATCATAAGAAAATTTACCTTTTGATTTTGGTATACTTTAGTAGTTCTGCAGCCTGCAAAGCAGGGAGAGAAATATTCTTTTTCATCTCTTCCACATATGGAACTATAGACGGAAGTTGTGCAATCACAATGCTCATTGCAGTCAGCTGTGAGGTCTCCAAGTCTACCATAGCTGTCAAGTTGAGATCAGGCACAATTACAGTATCATCATTTAAATTGTTAATGTGTATAGAAGGTATCCACAAGATCTATCAATATACTTATGGAAATATTTTTCACAGATTTACTATGGTATAAAAACATAATAAAATTCACATTTAAGAATGTATGACTCTATAGTTCTGAAGACATGGCTTAGCTCTTAAGACCACTTCTTGCTCTTTCAGAGAAGCAAAATTCCATAGCAAACATCCACATGGCAGTTCACAACCATCTGTAGCTCCAACCCCATAAGAGGGAGTCTGATGCCCTCTTATGGTCTCTCCAGGCACCACGCATGCATATAGTACATAAACCTACATGTGGGTGAATACTCAATCACATAAGCTAAATGTTAAAAAAAAAAACTTTTAAATGAACCACATGAATTATTTTGAAGCTGTAGTAAAATTTTTTTCAGTGTCTTTTTAACAAATAAAATCTCAACCACTTTAAATGGGCTGACCCCTTCCAAGGTTTACTTTACCACATTAGTACTTATTTACTTATTTATTACTTATTTACTACATATTATTACTTATTAGTACTCTCATCCTGTTCATGTGCTGTGATTTTATAAAAAGTAATCACACGGCACTTATATTTCCCTTGCTTCCTTTTCATTAAAGATCTGTTTGCTCTTATATAGAAATACGTTTTCATGGTTCTTGTATGTTGTAAGTAGAATACTTAAATTCTATAAATGTTTTTAATGTAACTACTTTAGAATTGTGTGTGTGTATGTGTGTGTGCGCGCGTGCGCTTGTGCATACTTTGCTCAAATGTATGCATATATCCTGTATGAATGCAGTACCCAGGCTGCAAAAGAAAGGCACTGGACCTATTTGGACTAGAGATGATACAGTTATGATCCTCCATGTGGATACCGGGAACCAGACCTGGGCCTCTGGAGGGAGAGAAAGTGCTCTTAAACACTGAACCACTTCTCTAGCTACCTTTGAAAAATATTTTCAAAAAACTGTCAGTTTTCAACATGATTTATTGTTTAGCACACAAAGGCTCTTGTGATCATAGATCATCAGGGAAAACAGAAATGTGGAAGATACAGATTTTCTCTCAAAGGACTGGATGTATATCTGGTCCTTCCATCCAGAAATCTGCAAATTGGATGTATTAATAGCATGATGATCTGCGTTATCTCTTGGGGTATGCCATACAAAGCTCTCTCAGCCAGGACTGAAGGTAATCATATACTGATGGTCCTTACATTACCTGTGCAGCTATCAGCTTGCCAGAGGCCCACAGCCAGGACCAGAGGTGACTAACTGCCTATACACTCTCTGCACTACATGTATAACACTAGATCCTTCCTGATGTCCTTAAACTAGTGCTGCAGCCTATATCTATAATCAATTTTCATGGAATACATGATAGGGACCTTGAGTTGAGTTTCAATGTAATTATGCTTCTTTGTGAACTGGGGATCATATTACACCAGCAAACTATTCCCCCAAATAATTCTGTGTTTAAATAAAACTGCCCGACCTCAGACTCCCTGAAATTTGATCCAGATTGACAAATTAAATCAGAACCAACTTTTCATTCTTACCTCTTAGCAGTTTATTTTTCTGCCTACAGTGATACCTACAAGAATCCCCATGAATTGGTTCAAAACATGGAGCACAGTGCCCTCGAAGAACATATTAAAATTTTCTTTAAATGGATATTAGGATTTCAGGACACTTGAGCCTCTCATAGAAAAGGGGTCCTAGCACGGTACTAACTTCTTAGTCTTTGTGACAAATCATTTTGTACAATCATTAAAATGTTTGTTAACATCCAGAAAAATAAAATATCCCATAGCTATAGTGAATATGAAGATATCCCATAAGAAGGGAGATAAAAATTCCTGTCAATTGTTTTTGAAAAACACAGAAAGATGATAGACAGACAGACAGACACACAGACAGTTAGATAGATAGATAGAATTTTCTGCCAGTCACATCCATGCAAGGTAGGCAGAATGAACACACCTTCTAAGGTTCCAGGTCAACTACACAGGTTCAGGGCTCACCCTCCTCATGATCTGACCAGAACTCAGAGCTCTCCTGCTGCCTGCCTCCTGTCAGCCCTTCCTGTCAGAGTCCATTACTGCAGAGGAGCAACACCTGAGTTCCAAGCAATGGCAGGTGGAGCTCCAGGACCTGCAACATGAGCTTAGTTCCTTGTTTCTGTTTGTTTATGTGTTATTTTTCTCACAAAGCAGGAATAATTCAATAGCAAAGGTCCCTTTATGAAAAATTTTTCCCTCATACCAGGAATAACTCAGTATCAGTTTCTTCATGATGGAAAATATCAGCAGGGGCCCATGTTCTAGTACAGGAACAATTGCAACTAGGACATTAAAGCACTTCAGCTGATGCTGATTAAATTTTCTGGGAAAGTGGGCAATCAGTGTATGGAGGATATTCTCCTCTCCTGCTCACCAAATCAGTGCTTAAACTAGGACTTAGCTTTTGTGGGAGACAAACTAAAAAAAGAAAATTTAAAATTTTGGGGCTAAATCAATTGGATGTGATCTTATCTGCTTATCAATACTATTGATTTTAATCTGTTCTTTAAGTTAAATTTTGAAAGAAATGTGATGCCTGAAACACAGCAGCAAGATTGAGGCTCTACATTAACTGACCTCATGTATAAATTAACGCGTGAAGGACAGAGTTGCATTGAGAACAGTAACTGACCGACCTTGAAAGAAAGAGAATAATGAAGAAGGGTTGTGAATGTAGAAAGGGTATAGTGAATGGTAGCATTTGTTGTGGTGTACTCGAGATTGGTGTTCAGTAAGCAGAAGTTAGAAAGGATGAGTAGTTTGGATACAAAAATTAAAAACAGACAAAATGGCATCAGACTCCCCAGAGTTTGATATAAGTTGATAAGGTCAACCTGAACTGAAAGTTAAATCTAACCCTTTTGTGGTTCATTTCTCTAATTTCATGACACCTGCAGGTATGCCCTCAGTTCATGGTTGGAATTTCTGCTAGCAGTATGTAGGAGCTTCAATTGTTATTCACAATTCTTAGTAACAATATGGTTTTATTCATTTAGGCATCCTTATATGGGACAGTTTAATGACTAATGGAAGTGAATTCATTTCTATGTAAATGTTTTCCATGTGTATATAATTATTATTTGATTAAATTCTGTTTACAATCTGTGGCTTATTTTTCATTTTTAATTGGATATTTTATTTATTTACATTTCAGATGTTACCTCCTTTCCCCATTTCCCTCTCCCAGAAACCCCTTATCCTGTTCCCCCTCCTTCTCTTTCTATGAGGATGAGCCCTCACCCATCCACCCACTCCCCACTCCTTGCCCTCTAATTCCCCCACACTGGAACATCCAGCATTCACAGGTTTCTTTTTTACAAGAGTCCTTGAAATCTAGATATAGTGTTGCCTAACTTAATCCCAGAATTTGAAAGGCAACAGCAGGTCATGGACAGCCTGGTATACATAGTGAGTCCCTATCTGAACCATGCCACCAGAAATCAGAAGAACAAGGCTTTGAAAAGGCTGATTTCAATTAATATTAAGTCAAATTTACAAGTTTCTTTCTAAATTATTAGTGTTATGTCTTGTAAAAGAATGTGAACTGATCTCTCTACCTTCTTGTAGAGATCAAAGAGTAGAAGGATTTTAAAGTAGAGAGACCAGTTCAAGAACACAAAGGTAAATCACATTATACATATTCTAGTAATATTTTGTACTTCTGACATAACCTAACACAAAGTTTTGATCACTAATGACTAATGAATGCAAAACAAATATATCTCTATGAGCTATGTACATTTAATATGAAAAGTAAGACCATGTTTTATACTCCATTTGCATGGTTAATAATTCCAAAAGTTTTATAAATATATACAGTTACCGAATTGTTGGTCTGGAAAAATACCCTTTCATTTATGATTAAAAATATAATATACAAAGTTATATTTACCCATCATAATCTTCATTGATTCCAGCAAATTTCGTTGCTTCACACTCTACAAAAAGAGATTAATAGGAAAAGCACAACTGATATAACACTTGTCACTAATACAAATTTCAACTTGTTCTTATTAGTCATTTCCAATCTGTCAAAAATTAAACCGCCAAGAAAATGGCCAATTACACCTCCTGGAAATACAAATAGTCCTGAAATAAGAAAATAAAATACTGTTAAACATAATCTGTTGAAAGCACAGAAAAATTACACATAGATATCATTCCCTCTATTACAGATTTCTAAACAAACAAAAAAATCTAGAAAACATTATATTTCAACAAGGTCACATGCTCTACTATGTTCATAGCAGCCTTATTCATAATATCCAGAAACTTAGAGCAACCTAAATGTCCCTCAACTTAAGAATGAATGCAGAAAATGTGGTTCATTTACACAATGGAAAACTTTGCAGCTATTAAAACAAGGACATCATGAATTTTGCAGGCAAATGGAAGGAACTATAAAATACCATATTAAGTGAGGTGACCCAGTCCCAAAAATACATTTATGATACATACTCACTGAGAAGTGAATATTAGCCAAAATGTACAAAATACCCATGATACGACCCACAGACCATAAGAAGTTTAACAGGAAGGAAGGCCTAAGTGAAGATGCTTCAATCCTATGTAGGAGGGTGAACAAAATAAGCCCTGGAGACAGATGGAGGGAAGTATCTGTGTGGGAGAGGAAGGAGGGGTAAGGGCAAGTAGAATCAGGTATGGGGGTAAACAGGAGAGAAGCCCAGAGGGCCAGGATAATGCATGGAAATATCCAGGATCTGGGGATTCCCAGAACTCAATTAGGGTGATCTTAGCCGAACTGCACAACTGTCGAGGGAAAGAACTCGAAGAATCCACCTCCAGTAGATAGACAGGGCCCTGGTGGAGGGATGGGGTTACCAATGTACAGTCAAAGTTCTGGTCCAGAATTTTTCTTGTCTAAATGAAATTCAGGGACAATAATAGAGCAGAGACTGAAGGAAAGGTCATCCAGTGACTGGCCTAACTTGGGATCCATCCCATAGGCAGACATCAAACCCTGACACTATTACTGATGCTATATTGTGCTTGCAGACAGGAACCTGATATGACTGACCTCTGAGATATGGTTACCAACATCTGACTGACACAGATGCAGATATTTACAGCCAACTACTAACATGAAGATTAGGACCCCCTATGGAAGAGTTAAGAGAAGGATTGAAGGAGCTAAAGAGGATGGCAAATACCTAGGAAGACCAACACTCTAACTGGAACCCTGGAAGGTCCCAGAGACTAAGCCACCAACCAAAGAACATACAGGCTTTGGTCTGAGAATCCCTAGCACATATGTAGCAGAAGACTGCCTAGTCTGGCCTCAATTAGAGAGGATGAGCCTAATCCTATAGAGACTTGAGGCCCCAGAGAAGGGAGATATCTGGAGGGTGGGGGAAAGCATCTTCTCAGAGGCAAAGAGGAGAGGTAATGTGATTAATAACTGTGGAATGGGGAACTGAGAGAGGGGCCAACATGTGGATTGTAAATACATAAATAAAATTGTTAGTTAAAAATGAGGTATTTGAATGTTTTAGTAGAACATTGAGGACTGACACACAAGCAGAAATGTATAGAAGCACTTAAAAGAATGATATGCTGTGGCTTGAGTTGTTTCCTAAAGGAAAGAGGAAAGGACATGGGCAGGTGTGCAGATGCGATGACAGGAAGATAGTGAGCTATATAAATAGCATTGAAAAATTTTATGTATTAAAAATATTGATGCAACATTGGAAGTGTTCCTGTATTTATAGTTTCAGCAAAGGACACTCAACTACACTGCATTCTCCATCTTCCATTTTCATGATATGTTTCATATATGGATATATATATATATATATATATATATATATATATATATATATCTCACCTAAATATTCACATTTTTAAAAATTTAAAACAGCACTATAAGAAGAAATATCTACCTGTGAGGAGAGAAGCAATTCCAGGCGTTATTAAAAACTGAGTTTGTAAATGGTGGGGCAAAAAGTATAAAGATGCACTGAAACTCAAATTCACTGAGGTTTTGCAGATTGCTTGGGTCAGCAGCAGTGGGTTCCTCAACATATACTGAAACACAAAACAGATCATATCACATTGATTTTATCTCATCACGTGCAGAACTGTCTTCCTATAGTCTAAACCTAAAGTTTCCTATTATGAAAATCAAACTATGTAATTACCCAGTAGACATATAATGAGACATTTGTATTTTGGTTTTTCTATACAGCAAATATACCTTTTAACTATGTATCTGGTAGCTCATTGAAAGGATTCCCCAGTCCCTTATTAGAAACATTCATAGCTTGCATTTATCTATCACAGTGGGTAAGTACTAATTTTTCATCATGTGATCTCACTGTATTTATTGGTTCAAATAAGATTAAGTATTTATGTAATGTTTAACTTCCCAATGTCACAAACTTGGTTACACTAAAAACCTGTATGCATTTGCTTTTCAATTTCTATAGCAGAGTAGCTTTAGAATTTTATATCCTTGGAACATGTTTTGGGATAAGAGGCTATGGGTAATTTATTTCAAATCTTGGTCCAAAATTTTTTTCAGGTTGTATATTTATACTATAACACCTCAATATTAGAGAATCCTGTTTCCTAATGAAAAATCTTATACTCTAAGATTCATTAGGACAATAGTTAATGTTTGGTAGACCCTTGTAGAAGTCATTAAGTCACTGAGAATGGGGAGATCTTACAATGGCTGTCAGACTACAACTGTTCTAAAGCATACACACTATTATAGCTAATATGAGAGCGAAAAAGGGCCTCTAGATAACTATATCCTTCAGACCAGAGCGGTTTAGTCATCTCATGTTCAGCTCAGAACATTAAGCCTCATTTAAATTTTACACTAATAAGTAAAATAGTTTTGTGTTATGCTACTAAGTTTTGTCATGCAGCAGTAACATAGACAGCCATAGATGACGTATTTGGAAATATTTGATGGCCTTTGTCAGCTTCTACATTTTTTCATACAGCCATACACAAGATAATATTTGTTTTGTGTTTCTATAGTTTCAAATATAAATGTGCAGTTTGGAGCTGGAGAGGTGCCTCAGCTCATAAAATGTTTGCTTTTTCAAAGGGCCTGAACTGAACCCCCATATCTCATATTTTAAAAATGCCAGACAGAGTGGTACATGCTCATAATATCAGTGCTCAGAAATGAGGATACAGAGATGATCTATTAGTGAGGCCTATTAGCAAGCTAGCTTAGCCTATACATCAAGTTCTAGGCTGGAGTGTTTCAAAAAAGAAAATAAAGGTGGATATTTCCTGAGAAAGTACACCTGAAGTCAACTGGATAGCACATGTAGGTGTGCATATTTCCATGTGAACCTGAAACATACATGAACATCTACATACATGCCCCAAAGCACAAATCTGTGTATTCCTTTATATAATTTAGGTGTTCAGTGTGTGTGTTTGTGTGTGCTGTTCTATTACACTTCCTTATGGTTTGAGTTGATTTGTTAAGAATTCACTATTTATAAGCATTAACTTCTTACATTTAGGTAACCATTACTAATCTATTGTACAGCCTACAGATTCATTCAGAAGAGAAACATTTTGCCTGTATACTATCTAACTTATAAAATTTAGTTTGTGTTTTACATTGCTTAAAATTTATTATATATATATATATATATATATATATATATATATATATATATATATGACTGTGTAAGGGTATTCTGGGTCATGGCTAGGCAGTTGCCTAGAACCCTGACACTCTGCATGAGAACTGGCAGGAGTTTGGTGCGCCCCCAGTACACAGTAGCTGACTATGATTTGTCTTGTGATCTAGCAAGGGTATGATTTTGCCAGCTGTAGATAGTTTCTGTATTTATGTGACACTTGGAATTCTGGTGTCTCTTAAAATGGTATATAAATGCTAGGGCCATGAGTGTTGAGGAACTGTTGGTATTTGATTGGTTGCTGTTTGAAAGTAATCATGTTCAAAGGTTAAACAACAAAAAGAAAAAATTAGATATCTTGACACTGGAGATTAAACTTGCTCTAGAGTACTAGATGCCCCTATTCAGCACAGAGTAGTTTAAAAATAATGTAGCCACCTGTTCCACTCTATCCTCTCGTATCTAGTGCTAGGGTGTTGAAAGTGTGGAAGAAGAGGGAGAGAAAAGAGAGGAGGAGAAAAGAAAAGAACCCAGAAAGCAGCCAAAAGTCCAGCTATGGAATTCACTGGCCAAAATGCTGAGCCCAATTCAACTCTTCTACCCTTAATTTGTTTTAGGCATGCATTTTGCCACAGGGATAACAAATAGCTATTATCAAAGAGCCTAAACTTCAAAAACCAAACATCCTGTCAAGAATGAATAAAAAAAATGGTTATAATTTATTGGTTGGGATATGATTTGGTCCAGCTACTATGAAAACACAGTGATGTTACTCAAAAATCAGGAGCAGACCTACCATATGATCCAGCTACTTAATATACAGCAATATAAGCATTTATATTTATACCTTTAAGGATTCAGACCATGGCTGTGGTCTTAGTTACTTTAGCTTAGGCAGTACATGCTCATACAATCTTTCACGCCATGATCAGGACAGAAAAAGAGAGAAAATAATGGATCAGGCTTCCACAATCCCATTCAGGTTATGAGTTTAATGACTTAAGGATTTTTGCTTAAGCTCCATGTCTTAGAATTTGCAAAGTACCCCAATATTTTTTCTGGGAAATAAGCCCTTTTTATGACACTGAGCTTAGGACACACTGAAGACTATCAAAATTAGAGCAATATCAAAGAATAATGATCAATATAATAATAAATGCACATACCTCAAAGTATTACAGCAAAATTCACAAATGCCACGATATACAATTAACCTATGTACCTATTAATCATTAAACTGATAAAAATAAGTGTGGTATAGTATATGTGTGCATACATGTATATGTGTATGTTTATGGGCATGTTCATATATATGTATATGTACATCCATATATATGTATATATATGAGTATATATGTATGGTATAGAGTATTATTTGTTACAAAGATGAATGAAATCTTATTATTTGTAAATAATTATATATAAGTGAAGCGAAATGCATTAGTTATTATAAGTTAAAGAGAAAGACAAATTCAAAATGTTCTCTGCAGTATCTAAGGCGCTAAGAAAATAGTTTATTTGCATATAGAACATGATTATAGTACTGTAAAAATAAAATTGGAAATGGATAAAAGTTTGCAGAAAATCATTCTAGGAACAAGATTTTCTGTATAGTGGGCTCAACATCGTCCCCAACATAAGTTACATAATTTAAAGGAGTATCTTAAAGTCTATGAATACATAAAAGTTTTAAGGGTGGGATGAATAGACATTAATCTTCAGTAAAGGCAATATCACAATGAACCATATTAATATAGAAAATTAATTCACTTTATTCAAAGAATTTTAAATAACACAAACCTTCACAACCGTTCTTAGACTTTATATAATATTGTTAATAGTTTCAGCTTAATATTTAACAATGTAAACAATTTACTGTTATTTAGTTTCTGTGTTGTTAAATAATAGGTACATCAATATTTGTATAGAATTGGTCAGCTGTGGATCTCTGTGCCTGAAACTCTAGAATTCCAGTGGTGAAAGAAGGGTTAATGTTCAAGTGTAGCCTGAGCTAGAGAATGCAACTTAAAAATTGGAATTAAATTTTGAAAAATGTAATCAATTATTACAATGGATTCATGATTTCATAAAGTTAAGTTTTTATAAAATAGGAATAGATGAAAATAAATCTTATATAGATATCTACTTACTTCAAAAAGGATTCAACTATTAGCAAAAACTGTATCATGAAGGCAGTCCATGCCCTGACCCTAGCTTCTGCTCACATCAACCCTGACAAAGTCAATTCAGTCTGCACAAGAAATGTAAGCCCAGTTCTTCACAATAACAAACAAGAAAATCTCAAAATTAAAATGGACATACAACAGACCAAAGAGATCCAAAACCAACCTGGACAATAAGAACACTGCTAGAGGTATCAACTATACATGATTTCAAGTTATACTAAATAACCTTAATATTTAAAAAAAAGGCATGCTACAGGTACAAAAATAGACCTGGTAATCAACGTAGCAGAAGGGTAGATATATCTTCATGCAGCTAGAGCCACTGTGATTTTGAAAAATGAGACCAAAACCACAGACTGGAGAAGGTAGTATCTTCACAAATGTTGCCGGAAACATTGGACATCTATAGGTATAAGAGTAAAGTTTGATCCTTGACTCTCACCCTGCACAAAAATATTATAAATGGATCAATGACCTACCCCAATATTATACCTGAACTCTGAAACTACTTTAGGATAAAATAAGAAGTACATTTAAAGATAAGGAAAGAGATTTCTAAATATGATTTCCGTGGTTTAAGAAATAATGTAAACAATGGAGATGAGGAATCTCATGAAGTCAAAATGCTTCTTTTCTGCAAAAGAAACCCTTAATTCTAATTCTTTGTCCTAGCCTAAAACTTAGATTCCTACCTGAAATTACTTCTTTGTTCTAGCCTAATGTCCGATTCCTGCCTGACTTCTACTTCCAAGACCTTGGCCAATGTCATATTCCTGCCAAGCAGCCCATTTCCCTGTCTTTGGCCCATGTCAGATTCTTGCCAAGAAGCATCCAAAGTTCTCCATCTCTCCCCCTTTTTATTTCATTAACAAGACTGAGCCTGTCTTAGGTCATTCTGATAAGAATGCTTTTTTTTACCTATCATGGAATATGCATTATTAGATGTCCTGTCCTTCAACAGAAGAATGGATAAGAGATATTTGGTACATTTACACAACGAAGTATTCTCCAGCTGTTAAAAATGATGACATCATGGAATTTTCAAGCAAATCGATGGAACTTGAAGACCATCATTCTGAGTGAGGTACCCAGATAGATAAATATGGTACATATTTACTTATATGCAGTGAGTCACTGTTAAGGAAATGATAAACCAACTAAACTTCTTATATTCTAAGATGTTATGTATCAAGGAAGGAACTAGGGACATCAGAAATAGCTAATTAATACTTTGAATGAATAGGTTCTTTTTTACTAGTGAAGGTTATTTATATTTCTCTCAGTGTTCCTATTTGCTGGTAGTTCTTTCTCTACACATAAGAGAAAGAGGTTTGTTATACATGGAAATTGAAAGAGGGAAGAAAGGGAGAGAGAGAGAAGACCCACGTTATATTTTAATTGTAAAATAAAATATTTTCTATTTTATTTATTTTAAGGAATGGGTAGAAAAATGAATAATTAAAGAATAAATATCTCTAGGAAAGAAAAAATCACTAAAAATTGGAATGATAAACAATTCTAAAAATTGATGGTTTTTCAAGATGCTTGGAAGTGTTATTCACAGGGTAAAATACGCTTAAAGAATGAATGAAATGTGTGTGTGTGTGTGTGTGTGTGTGTGTGTGTGTGTGTGTGTGTGAAAATTGCAACCATGCAATGTATATGCCAGAAAGAATGTTATAAGTAGGGGAAATGATATTCAGAAGAGGATAGAGCATTAGAAAGGGCGTCCTATGCATTCCTATGTCTGTTACTACTGTGATAGACCTGTTTATTATACAGAGAAAATTAGGATTTTTTTTAAATATTGTCACTTTATTTGTGTGTTGGAAAGGGCTATGTATTGACACAGAGTTCTTCCAATTTATATAATTTTGTTAAATGTCATATTTACTTCTTTAGAGACAATAAGAACAAAATTGTATCAAATCAGTTAAAAACAAATCAAAATTTTACTTGTGCCTCAATAGTCTCTAGCCCTAGATGGGTCTTTAGCATTATCAAAGAAGGAAGTATTTCTTTCCATTAAGAGAAAAATTATAATTTAGTAGTTTATTTAAGAGACTCCAAACCTTTCATGCAAATTTAAATTAAGAAGTTTGTCAAATTCTTAACTCTATAAGAAATTTACACAGGTCAATTTAATTGATTTGTTAACAAAAATGTTTTACTTTACCCAAACACCATGAAGAAAACCCTTTAAATGTGGTTCAATTTCCTTATCTTTAAGTCTCCTGTCAACGGTGGGAGGTTCCTTTCTTTTCGCAAGTCTTAATTTATGTGCACCTATAGGTTGCAAGGAAAATAAACTTTTCTCATCTCCAAGTCAATATGAATATATATATATATATATATATATATCATGCATTAGTATACATTATAGTAATCTCATTTTGACATGAAATGGCAAGTTATTATGTTAAACACACTAAAACCAATGTGTGTTTTTGAATGCAAATTATTCAACAACAGTTGTGTTTTGCAAAGCATAATTCATTGATAATGAAAATTTCTCACATTTGACCTGCTATAATTCTGCAGCTGACAACAATGCCTGTCTCTTAACTGTTAAAAGTCTATGGATGAACTACTTCTTATTTTAATGTAGAATTGAGTAGCCATATTTAATTAATAACATTTGATGACATGGTTCAAAAATCCTCTGCCATAAAATGTCATTTATGTATCATAAAATATTTTGCAGTAATACATGTCAGAATCAAGTTAGAAGAATAAATAGTAATAATGCAATAATAATAATACTAAAAATGGAATTACAATATTTTCATTCTTGTATGCATATCACTACACTTTCTTACTTGACATGATCGTACTCACTGCCCTCCCTTATCCCCTTTATCTTTGCTTCTCATGCAGCCTCTTTTTTTCCTTCATACCCTACATGTACCTGCCATCACAGGCCTTTCCTTGCATGTGTTATGACTATTCTTTACATCTGAGTAACGTGTCCTGGGTAACACAATTTCCACACCCAATAATTTGTTGTATTTCTAGGCAGGTTTTAAACCATGGTTGTTATGAATAGTGCAGTAAGAGTAATGGAGGTTTCTCTTTTCTTGGATGATGTCTCATTGGCACTTCCTTACTGATGGCTACTCTGGGTGGTAAGGGACTCCAATTGTTAAACACTGACTTTAATCACTTTAGGTTAGCATATAAAGTAGTTGGCTTCATAACTATTTTTTCATGTGTATATGTCATCACACTCTTGTCTTTTTTGTTTTCTCTCCCTATATTTCTCTCACATGTCGTGACCACCCACCCTGTTAATTCCTCTCCATGTGAGTCTCACATTCTGCTCATGTATTATCTGTATTTCATTGCTGTCTATTCATCTTCCCTTATGCTCGATTCAGATCCTTAATTCATCACTTCTCTAGTTGTCACAGCCACAGTACACCTGCACACATGCACACACAGATACACACATACTACATTCATGAATGTGTACATACATCCATATTTTTAAATTTATATTACACTTATTAAGGGAAACATTTGTTATTTGACTTTCTGAGTTTCATTGGTCTGAATTAAGATAAAAATTCCTCCTATTATCACAATTTCATTTTTCTTTATGGCTAAATAAAATTTCAGTCTCCATAGGAACTATGTTTTCTTGATCCCATTACACTGTTTGTACAAATCTAGGTAAGTACTACCCTCTAACTATTTTAAATAGTGAGGCAGTAAGGAAAGATACACAGCTACTCAGGCATCCATATACAAGAGTCATATAATTAGGTCATATGGTAGTTTCATTTTCAGGTTTTTAAGAAAGATTTTAATTATGTATAAATTTGTGTGTGAGAAAGTAAGTGCACACAAGCAATTGTGTGTGTGGTCCACAGATACAGGTAGTTATGCACAAACTCAGGTCTTCTGCAAGAGTGGCATGCATTCTCAACTAAATCTCTTTAGCCCCTTAATTTCTGGATTTTTTTTTTTTTGAGGAACCTCCAGAGTAACAGTGGTATTTTATGTTGCCACCAGCACTGAGTTAGGTTTTGCTTTCCCCACATTCTCTGAACATTTATTCTCACATGGCAATGGAATTTCAATGCAGATTTAATTTGCATTTTCTTAATGGAAAATGATCCCTCACATTCTTCAAATATTAATTGCCCATTTGTATTTCTTTAAAACCTGATTACATAGCCAGGTGGTGGTGGCACAAAGCTTATATCAAGTACTTGGGAGGCAGATGCAGATCATCTTTGAGTTTGTATCCAGCATGGTTTATAGAGCGAGTTGTAACATAGTCATGGCTACTAAGAGTAATGCTAAAAAAGTAATAAAGAATTAGAATTTATCACACAGATTCTGTTAGTGATAAGATTCCTTTTGCAGAACTATTTCAGCTGTATGCCATATGTTTGTGTACATTGTAATTTCATCTTTCATTTCCATTTGTATTTCATTAAGAACTGAACCTGAACATTCTGACTTTTCCCTAACCCCTTTTGCTCTTTCTGTGCTTGCTTTTGCCTTTATCACTAGCAAGTCCATTCTATCACTGGCATTAGAGCCTATGTCTTTGTAATTTCTGAAGAGCAGTTGAGGCATTTAGACTCATGGACTGAGGAACAACTGACCATCCATCCACAGATAGACATTGTTGGATTAGCTGCAGCAAAGCGTATAAGTCATTCTAATGAATCCCATATATATGTATGAAATACAAATATATATGAAACACAAATATATATACGAAATACAAATTATATCTATATCTCTTCCTCTCAAAATATACTGAAATATAGATAGATAGATAGATAGACAGACAGATAGATAGAAAAGATTCATTCTATAAGTCCTGTTACTATAAACAATCTGACTAACAATCACAGGTAAATATATTTAAGTATACATTCATATTCAACAACACCTATGAGCTTTAACTTAAAGGGGATTATTAAAAAGAAATAATGAGAAACACAAATATATACAAATAAAACTATATATCATAAATATAATATTTGAATGTTATATTGCTTGATTTGGTAAAAGCAACAACCACACTATGATAACATTTCTTTGTTACAGACCAATACCAGTAGGAAAATATATAAGGATATGTCATTTATCTGTGTTTGTGAATGAGAGCTGAAGGTAAAAATTACTGTAACTAATTATATTCTTTTTAAACTCACCTGGTAAACTAGTTGGAAAACATGCGATCATTAATGATAGACCAAATGAGACTACAGTAACAAACAAAAAACTTTTGCACCACCTGCTCTGCAACAGTTGATTCAACTTATCAGGTCCACTTGAATAGAGAAAGATAAAAAAGTTAATTAGGAACATTTATAAAACAAATAATAATTTTTTGAGAGAATTGGAAAGTATTCTGTTAATTTGCATTCACTTGTAATTTGTAACTATTAATTTCTGGGCTTTGCTGACATGAACCATTTGTCAGCATTCAGTGCTATGAGGGGCTGCATAAGAGTATCTTAGTTCTTGGCTGGGCATGGGCTTGGAACCCTGAGACTTCAAGGGAGAAATGGCAGGTGTTCGGCCACATCCCCAGAACCCAGGGTCCTGACAGTCAGTCTAGTCTCCATGGACCTACGCTGTTCAGTCATGTAGGCCACTGCAGCCCCTCCCAAAATGCACAGGTAGAGGGTGTGACTACAGGCCTCAGGCATAGAGAGATTTACACACTAATGAAGGCCAGAGGGTGGAGCCAATTAAACCTTCCACAGATCCTCCCCCTTTCTCCCTCCCTATTTAACTCAGGTCTGGCATGAGTTTCATGGGGATACATCTAGATCATCTACCATCAGCCATGAAAATAAATCCTTTTGGAACTATGGACATTCTTGTGTCTTTGTGGCCTGCTGTCACCAAAGCCTCCAGCCTCTGGAACCTTAGACTTTCTCCTGTTTGTGGGACCCACTGGGTGGAAAGTCTCTGGGATACCGCTGTGGTTATTTTCCCACAATGCTACTGTTTTGTTTTTCCTCCCATCAGAGCTTCATGTCCTCATGTTCATTTTCTGTGACATGACTCAGGTAGTAGACAGTCCTCTTTGCTCCTATTTAAAATTTTTTAATTTTAATTTGTGCCTCTTGAAAACCAAAACTTGCTTCTTCTTCTTTTCTTCTTTCTTCTTTCTTCTTTCTTCTTTCTTCTTTCTTCTTCTTTTTTCCTCTTCCTCTTCCTCCTCCTCCTCTTCCTCCTCCTCCTCCTCTTCCTCCTCCTCCTCCTCCTCTTCCTCCTCCTCCTCTTCTTCCTCTTCCTCTTCTTCTTCTTCTTCTTTTCTTGCTCTTCTCATCCTTCTCCTTCTCCTCCTTCTCTCCCTCCCCATTCTCCTCCCCTTCCTCTCTTCCTCTTCTTCCTCCTCCTCCTCCTTCTTCCTCCTTCATTATTTTATTTTACTGGATACTTTCTTTATTTACACTTCAAATGTTATCCCCTTTCCCATTCTCCCTCAACCCTTTATCCCAATCCCTCTTCCCTCTGCTTTTATGAGGCTGTGCCCCCACTCACTACCCACTCCCACTTCCTTGCCCAAGCATTCCCATACACTGGGAAATCGAGCCTTCACAGAACTAAGGGCCTCTCCTCCCATTGATGCCAGACAAGGCTACATCTGGCTCCTTTAGTCTTGCATCTGTAACTCTGTTGTAGGCAGTTTGCACAAATTTTCTTGTTTATGGCATCTGACTCTTGAGGTCACATGTCATCTGAAATCCACTCCTCAGGTCTTTTGTATTAAGTGTACTTGGTACTTCTGTGGTCCTTCCATTTGTCCTATTGGACTCATTTGTATTCTTAGGTTTCTTTTGCTTCTTACAGAGCTGGCAAGGTAGAGAGGGGACATGAGAAACCATGTGTTGTGGTTTGCTAAATTGCTAAATTTCTCTTTTACAGTGTGGTTATGAGCTGACAGCATGTGTCTTGTCTTTAATCAATGCTGACACCAATAGAATAACAAAGGTTTTTTGTTTGTTTGAATCATTTAGGAAAAGATCTACAGTATTCAGTGAATATTCCATTACTAATATTTGTAGGTCCTCACCCATGGAAAATTTTAGCTGGGAGTTAGAGAAATGCCACAGCAGAGTATTATGAGCCTTAAGTGCTCTGGAAGCAACACGGTTTGGTTTTTCGTAACCATATGGTGGTTTGTAACCACCTGTAAGTTAGGCTACAAAGGATTCAATGTTCCAACATGTTACCCACATTATGCAGACATAATATATATGCTAAAAACATCCTATACATAAAACACAAATTAATGTACCTTTATTATGAACTAAAATCTTCACTAACCAGTTGTTGTAGAACAATATTGTTCTCTATAGGACAATCAGCAAACTGAAAGGCCCATGAATTACTTTCTAACATATATTCAATAACATATAATAAATCTAATTTGAACAACAATAAAAAGACTAGAGAAAGCATCACAGCATACTGTTTCTTTTATGGAAAGATTATACTACTTCCCAATTTAACACATAAGTTTAGCTGAAATCTAAGTGCTTTGGTTATTATCAGCATGCTGAATTTACCAAGAAGAATATGTGTTTATTTTAAATAATTTTTGTGTTCTTAAAATCTTTTGTTATATTTACACATTTGAGGTATATGATTGTTTTGCCTGCATGTATGTAGTGCACCAAAAGCAGAGTTCAGAAGAGGCTGTCAGTCACCCTTGGCTTGTGGTTACAGATGGTTGCGAGCCACCATGTGAGTACTGGGAACCCAACCCACCTTCTCTGACAGAACCATGAGTACTCATTATTGGGGACACATGTCTTCAGCTTCAAAGTGTGTCTGTGTGTGTATCTTGTAAGGGGAGTGCTTGTAGACTAGTAATATATACAATAATTTTCAAATAATAAAACATGGGTCTTTAATACTGAAACAAAAAATGTCATGGGATAGAATAATGTATAAAAGAAAAAAGTGTAACTATGAAGATATTTAATCATAAAATTTGTGTTAATAATTATTTTAAAAGTGCATAAAATATAATCAAAGACAGAAATTAACTATCATCTCAATAGTTATAAAAAATGTTATGTTAAAAACTCAACCACTCTTCATAAAAAATGTTATGTTAAAAACTCAACCACTCTTCATAGTAAAATAACAAAGAAAATAGTATCAGAAAACTCATGCACACTCAAACATAATAGAGGTCATAAGCCAAGGCTGAAGCCAACACTGTGCTAAACAATGACGATTTGAAAGCCTTTCCTCTACAGTTGAGAGTATAAAGCCATTATCTACTCTCTACACACTACCACAAGAGAGCTCTTAGTCTTAACTCAAGTAGCTGGATGAGGAAAATAAATAGAAAAAAATCATATATAGGAAGTGAAAAAACTAACCTATTTTTAAAATGATGATTTTATATTTAACACACTCTGAGATTTCTTGAGAGATCATCATTGTAAATGCCTTTGGCATGGAAGTAGAATAGAAAATTGGCATATAAAGATTAATGGATTTCTTAGAATCAATAATAAACATACTAAGAAAAACATCATGAGAACACTCACATTAGCAGGTGAACAAAAACAATGATTAATAATAATAATAATAATGAAGGTAAAAGTGTACATTTACTTTTGAAGGTAAAAGTGTACATTTACCACCAACCATAGTTGGTCAAGTACAGAGAGCACTAAGAAAACTGTCAAGAACTGGGGAAGAAATAAAGGAAAATAATAAAAGATAGAATGTCCTTCAAGTTCATGAGTTAGAATTAATATTGTGAAAATGGACATATTACTGAAACTTTTCTAAAGAAACAATGCTATATTTATAAAATACCCGTGGATTTTTTCACAGAATCAGAATATCCTAAAATTAAGATTCACTACAGATTCATGGTGCCAAATTCAGCATGGTATTTATACGCACAGAAATAAAACATGGAATAGAGAAGATGAGAAAGCAAAGCTACACTGCGGATGTCTGATTCTCAATGAAGGGAGAGAAATCACATGCTGGAGAAAAGAGAGCTTCTTTAAAACTGGTTCTGGCAAAAGTAGATGTCCATATGCAGAAGAATGAAAGTACATCTTTCTAGAACTCTAAAAATCAGTTAAAATGAATCGTAGGTCTCAATGTAAAATCTGTAAATTTGAATCTAGCAGAGAAAAAGTGAACAAAGAGACTTGGGTGCAGAGGCACAGGCAGGGACTTCCATCACACTGAGTATGTGGATTCTCTCATTTCCTGATGCTCTTCCTCCACCTTCTCAGGATATCATTTGTCTTTCTTACAAATTTTTCATTTTCAAAACGTGACAGCACATCATCAAAGCTTGCTATGCAACATTTGTAATTTATGTGATAGTTAACATATTTGTGTAATGATTAAATTTAAGACAGTTATTAATTTTATTGATTTCCATTATAGTGTTTCTTCTAAGGAGGTAAAACCAGGTGCATATGGATTATATTATTAAATTCCATTTTGGTGCTCCAGATATTTAAATTATTTTAGCTATGAGTTTTGAATTTTAATTTTTTTCCTTAGTAACCTGAGTTTGAGTAGTATACTTTATTATTTCTTGTGGGATAGATTTGTTTATCTTTAAAACAAGTGTACTTAATTTTTTCGATCAACACTATAAAAGTATTTAGGAATTTATGTGTATATGTGTACACATAGATATGTAACAAGAAGTAATGAAAAACGAACTATGCCTATGACATAGAGCCAGAAGGAGTATATGAGAGGGTGTGGCAAGAGGAAAGAGACATTGAAAGAAAGAAACTCAGACCCAAAAGCTACAGCCCACAGAACAAGGTCAACAAGCTGAAGCACAACCACATGGGAGGATGGAAGAACCTGGGAGAAAAGGAAGATTAGAGGGGGCAAAGAGGAGAACATGTTTGTGTACTGGGTGGGGGAAAGGGACCTAAATCCCTGAGGGCCAACAGAAAGAATGGAAACAGGCAACCTAGGAAGAGAGGAAGTTGGGGGGACCCTCAAGAATGTACCAGAGACCTGGGAGGTAAGAGACTCTCAGGACTGGATTCAAAGGGAGGGACTATAGATGAAATGTCCTACATTAGGGAGTGGGTACTTGTAGAGTCCACCTCCAGCAGAACGTGAGGGGTGGGGTTTCCATCCCACAGTCAAAACTTTGAGCCACAATTGTTCCTGTCTGAAAGAACTGCAGGGATTGAAATGGAGAGGAACCTAAGAAAAAGAAGGTCCAGCAACAGGCTCACAGTGGGATCCAGCTCAAGTAGAGATCCCAAGACCTGACACTATTACTGAGGCTAAGGAGCACTGACAAAAAGGGACCTATAATGACTGCCCTCTGAAAGACCCAAACAAGCAGCTTAGAGTCAGATGCACTCAACCAATGGACAGAAGCTGCTGATCTCTGTGGTTCAATTAGGGGAAAGCTGGAAGAAGCTGAGAAGGAGGGTGATTCTGTAGGAGTACCAGCCATCTCAATAACTTGGACCCCAAAGATCTCTCAGATGCTGGAACACCAACCAGGCAGCATATACTAGCTGACATGACACCCCCAACACAACATATGTAGCAGAGGACTGCCAGGTCTGGGTTTAGTCAGAGAAGATGCACCTAATCCTCAAGAGACTGGAGGCCCCAGGGAGTTTAGAGATCTGGTGGGGTGGGGTTAGGGGTGGGGCCATCTTTGTGGAGACAGAGGGGCAGGGGAGAAGTGTAGGTCGCGGTACAGTTGGAGAGTGGACCAGGAAGGGAATAAAATATGGAGTTTAAAATAAATAAATAAATAAATAAATAAATAAATAAAATGGAAAGAAGAAAATTAGGGTGAGATACAATGAGATTTGACTGAATTGAAATAAACAATTTGAAACAGCATTGAAAAAATAAAACGTAAAAAAATAAAAAAAATATATGTCTTCATATGTACATGTTTTTTTCTGAGAAGTGTTTTAGTAGGTAAATCTGGACTCTTACATGTTGTTTTCTTTTATTGCCTTGAGAATAGTTTTGTTACATTTTATTTCTGAAAGCTAGATTATAGTGTGAATTACATAGACTTGGATGAATGAAATCTGTTGGATGACATTTGACTGCATTTTGCCTGAATATTATATTCTTTTCATTTGAATGTTTTTCCCCCTTTGGAAAGTCTTTTATATCTTTGGCATATTAAAGTCTCTCTTGAATTCTGACCATTTCTTTATCTGTTCTTTCCGCTCATTCCCAAACACCTTTTTATTCCACTTCAGTATTTTTATTCTTCTTCACCTGTGTATTTTCCAGTTGCCTACTATAAGCTCGTGAACTCTTTCTTCTATTGCATCTATTGTGCTACTGTTGCTTTAAGTTTGCCTTGTGTAGTTTACATATCAAGATGAATTTTTGGTTCGCATATCTATGTTAACTTTTTCTCTAGAAGCATAAAATCTATGTCCATATTTTCTTTAAAACTTCTCTCTCTCTCTCTCTCACTCTCTCTCTCTCTCTCTCTGTGTGTGTGTGTGTGTGTGTGTGTGTGTGTGTGTGTGTGTGTGTGTATGTCCCTGTGTGCTTAAACCTTTGCCTGTGGAAACAAGAGGTACAAACAGTTATGACTATAGTCATGTTTTTTTCCAAGAGTGGTATACATATTTAACTAGCGGCTTATTTTCAGAATTTTTCTTCTGAGGAACTTCCACAATAACTGTACAAGTTTATATTGCCACCAGTAGTTAATAAATATTTTGCTTTCCCCACATCCTCCTGAGCACTTATTCCCTTGATTATAGCTATTCTAATTAAGAGGAAAGGGGGTTTAAAGGCAGGTTCAATTTGCATTTTCCTAATGGGAGAGAATGCCAAATATTTCTCAAATACTTTGTCCATTTTTACTTTTTAAAGGAATGCATCATTTAAATGTTAACATGTGTTCTAATAGTGAACACAGACTTCCCTCTAACCACATTTGCTCTTTGCCTGCCTGTTCCTGCCCTCACTAACAAAACCATCACTTCACTGGACTTAGAGCCTACTTCTTCAAGACTCTACATATACTGAAGACCACCTGAGACATCCAGCCTCATGGTCTGAACAACTACTGATCTCCCACTCATAGGCAGTCATCACTGGGTGAGTAGAGTACATTTGTATATATGATATATATACATATGTATAATGTCAATATTATATATAAAATATATACTGCATATATGCTCCTACACATAAATATAATAAATATGTTATAACATGTAATTTATACGATATATTATTCATACATAATGCATGATATAATATAAAATATATTACTTAATACATAATATATAGTACAAAATAATTTAATTATTTATATATCATTAATTAATAATAGTCAATTAACTTAAATGATCAATTGATTTAATTAATTTAATTAACAAATTGCATGTGTTTGTACTTTCTATCAGGTAGGACCTAATTCAAAAGAAAGGTCTTCAGCATTGCTGTCCAGCTCCTCTGTACAATAAGACATCTATCTTCCTGGCCCTGTTCTAATCCTATTAATATCATTATCTTTGTCATTTGCTTTTCAGAAATTCTAATCAAGATGTTTATTTCTCTGAGTCTATAGTTACTTTCACTATTTTAAAGCTAGACAGTATCCTAGATTCAGCTTTGTCAAGATTCGACTTTTACTGTAATATAGGTTTTTCAGAAATACATGGATATACAGATTCAAATGCAAACATTCTCTAAAAACTAATGCTTGCAAACTGAGTACAAGAGTATAGGATTGTGAAGATGATTCGGTCTCCTTGGTAGAGCAGTGGGTTTGAGATAGCCGGAGACCCAACAGGTGACCATTGCCCGACTAGGGACAGCGCATATCTCACCACACCCCTGGATTCCAGACTCCTGACACTCAGTCGACACATCCATTAACCTGCACCTTGCAGACACATTAGGCTAAGCAGCTTCTCCCAGAGAGGTTTGCATCACTATTCACCTACAGGTAGAGGGTGTGACTACAGGCTTAAACCTGGAGAAATTTCCATATTCATGAGTTACCTAAAGGCCTGGGGGAATAGGTAAATTAAGTTGTTCCTTTTCCCAGTCCCTCCTCTTTTCTCCCTCTCTATTTAGGCCAGCTCCCCCCTGGCTTAAACTGGAAGGTGCACCATCTATCATATACCATGAACAATAAAACGCTTGGAACCCACGGACTTCTCCTATCATTGGGGCCTGCTGTCACCAAAGCTTCTAGCCCTTGGAACTCTGAACTTTCTCGAATTATTGAGACTCGCTGTCTTGGAAAGTCCCCCAGTGTTTCCACTGTGCCATTCCAACACAAGAGCATACCCAAAAGGTCATCCTTCTTGATCAAGTAGGCTTATTCTCAGTGACATATTTATCATTCAATTCAATTACGACAAACTGAATGACAAAAAGACATGACCATTACGTTCGATACAGAAGAGGACTTTGACAAATGCAACTCAGTTTATGATAAATGCTCTGAATATTCTAGAGACATAAGGGACCCACCTCAACATAACACAGGTGATTTACATCAAGCTCACATCTAACACCAACTAAATAGAATGTCAAGGCATTTCTACTAAAATTAGGTACAGGAACAAATGACTCTTTCCACACTTACTCATTTTAGTACTTGAAGTCTAACAAATAGCAGTAAGAGAACTGAAGGAGATCAAAGTGATACAAATTCCAAAAAAAAAAAAGACTTCAAACTGACTTTATTTGCAGAATATATGTTTTGTCAATAAAAGATGTTAAGAAACGTCTACTGCTAATACACACTTATAGCAAAGTAGCAGATGACAAAATCATCACCAAAAATTGAGCAGCCTTCCTATACACAGAAAATAAACAGGCTAAGAGAGAAATCAGTGAATTCATTTCCTCGAAATCGAGACATTTCCTCGAAAGACATAGCCTCGAAAAATCTCTTGAGAAAGAAACTTCTGTAATAAAAAATTAGTACATTAAGAAGAGCAGAAATGAGATCCCACCTCCTCATGGATCACAAAGATTAATAGAGTGAAAATGCCCATTATAACAATAGCAAATGACTGACAACAACAACAAAAAAAAATCAAAATTGCAACACCATTCTTTACAAGTAAAAATTCAGTTTCCTATGAAGACACACACACGCACACACATACACACACAGACACACACACACAGACAAACAGAAAAAAAACAATAACAACAACAACAAAAAAAAAAACCAGAAAACCAGCCCTAAAAAGAGAAAGAAGTCCTTAAGGTACCACCATCTCCAATTTCTAATTTTACTAGAATCTATCATAATGAAAACAACATGTTATTGGCATAAAAAGAGACATATTGATCAATGGAATCAAATTGAAGTCCCAGATTTTTCCACAGGTACAGACACCAGATTTTTTGCTAAGAAGCCAGAAATATACACTGGAGAAAAGTTAGTATCTTTTCAAAAATGTTGGCGGTAAAACTGGATAGCTACATGTACAAGGATGCAAAGGGATCCACATCTGTCTCTTTGCAAGTGGAGCACTGATATCTAATTGAGGGATTGTCTTCCCAAATATTAGATGACTCCATCTGAATTCATTTTGTATATGTACTTATTTTACAAAGCACCTACTGTAGTGTGTTTCCATATGGAACATGATATTATGTCTTTTCTTTCTCATTCATTCATAAAACAAAAAGGAAATAACCACCACAGAAAAATAAACATTCAAAACAAACAAGGAAAAGACCAGTGAGAAGACGAAGTAAACCATACAACAAAACAAAATGAAAAAAATGTCCATTAAAAAAACCCATTGAGTTCATTTTTTATTAGATTACAACTGATCATGAGACATATTGTGGAGTATAGTTACATGCAGTGACATTCTTCTGTAGAAAACATATCGATCCTTGGTATATAACGTCATGTGGTTAGAGAGGTAGCTGGGAGGACTTTGGTGCAAAGGAAGAATATGAACAGAATATATTGTATGATTAAAAAATAAACCTTCTACATATAATGCATATAATTACTATTATTGTAATGTATTACATAAGTATTTCATATTTTTAACAACAAAATATAAAAAGTTAGTAGACTTTTAATTAACCATATTGACTATACTTCAAACAGTAAAATTCAACTGCAAAGTATAAATGTACTTATGTCTTCAAATATGTATATATCAGCCACATTTACCATAATTTGTCTGTATTATTTTTGCACCATTGCAATCATTTAACAAGTATTCTATACAATATGAACTAAATACAAAAATCAATAGTATGACTTACATTTCATTTATTTTTTCTTTGGGGGGAGGCTTAAGATTAGGCAATCCTCCTATAGCACCCAGAAGGTATCCCACCAGATGTGCAGAATGTCCAAGAGCTTGAAAATGAACAGAGCATCAAAGAGTTTCAGAATCAAACTTGGTCATACAAAATACAAAGGAACTATCTGTGATACCTGAAAGCTTTTCATGCTATTCTCTAATACTTTACAGAGGAAAGATGGAGTGGAAAAGAGAAGAAGAAAGGGGGTCAGTATGAAAGAGGAGAAGAGAGGTAACTGCAAATACTTCCAGAATTTATTCTAACGAATTTCAAATTCATAGGACAGAAAGCTGTGAGGAATTCATGCAAGAGCTAATGATAGTCTTATAGTTGGAGCTAGTCATGAGCCACAATTGCTGCTTGTCTGGGAAAAGTCAGTCTGCCCTGTTAGGACACTACCTTGCTTGAGCTGAGGCCTGTTTATACCACAAAAGTCAACTGTTTTACTCAGTGTCTAATGATTGTGAACGTTAATCATACCTAAGACAACAGCACAACTTGGTGGCATATTTTCTTATCTAATGAAGTATTGGATACTCATATAATTTAATTAAAATTATGAGCACAATTCTCTCATTTAATTTAGTAATAAATTATCATAAATATATTTATTCAAAATGAGCATGAATAAACTATATTCCTTTAGTATGTCACTATAGGCACTTTCAAAGTAAGTATAAAATAAGTTTATACTTTTAAAAATGATATCTAATATCTCTGTGAAAATACTTCTCCATTCTGACTTACCAGGACTGGAATCTATTACTGGTTACCAGATAGATAATTTGGGAGTGAATAAATGCTTACTTAATGTAGGACACAGCTTACATAAGACACTGTAAATGAAAGAGATGATACCATGTGCAGTTATTTCCTTCTCCTCACACAGTATCCCTCTTTCTACCCTCTCCTTGACCCTCTGTACCTCTCCCCACCCTCTCAGGGAAAGAGAAACAGAAACAGACAGAAATTTTTGAAACGTAAAACATACATATGCTTTCTATTCCTGTAAAACTTTTCAGTGACATTCAAATGATTTAACTACTGTTCCAAATTTCATAATTAAATGTATCAGTGTGATTTTGAAGTTATGCAAACAAGTCATCACTACTTAGTACAGTGACATCACAGGGCCAACAGTACATACCAATTAGTTAAAACACACAGAAATCTGATCATTATTAAAAATGGGCCATACATAATTAAAAAAAAAAACTTGCCTAAATAGAAGCCAGCTGAATTTGTAGGAACATGGTCAAAAATGAAGGTCATGCCAAGGATATGAATTGGCATCCCTGCTATTCCATGGATACACTGCCCGATGATGTGGAAATAGATACATTTTGATCTGTCTGGAATTGAGTTTGTGTCACAACTTATATTTCTCTTTTTATTTTCTTCTATGCACAACTCTTTGGAAAGATAAGAAATGTATTTTACTGAATTGAGTTCAAAATTAAAAGTACAATTAATTTCACTACCAGCACCATGCTTTTCTTGCTAGACTGAGGATAGTCATACAATCAATTCCTCACTATGCTCTAAATAGAAATAGCACATTAAAAGAAAATGGGAAGAAATACTGGAAGAGATACGCATATTCTGAAATGGTGTGGTTATTTATCTGCATAGGATTACATATACACAGATATTCTCATATACATGCACATTTACACATACATAGTACATACTGCACTCATTTTCCAATACATTGCATCCTGTTCTTGTGATATTTCTCTCCATACTTAAAGGCCTTGCAATGTCCACAATAGTCCTCTGTCTGAGTATTATATCCTGGCACTTCTTTAGCAATCCTTAAATTACATGTACAGTGCTACTTTGACTAAATAATTGTCTATTTTACACCTTTGAGCTTCTATAATATACTACTATGGTTTGTATGTATAAAATGCCTCTCTAAAGTCTCATGTATTCAGTGCTTAATTCCCTGTTGATATTATTTGGAGAATTCCGAGAAGTGTGTGTGTGTGTGTGTGCTTGCATGCATGGGTGCGTGGGTGGGTGGGTGCGTGTGCGTGGCACCTCCTAGTCTCTGAAAGTTATACCTTGTCCCAGATCCTTCGGATCTTCATTTTGCTTTGTTCCCATCAGAAGTTAAACAGACTTGTTTTGCACACTTCCAGTTTTATGACTGACTATGGGCTGAGAGTCAATGAGGACTAGCAACAGTGGAGGTAGCACTCTGAAAACATGATTTAAAAAAAAAACAAACTATCTTTCCTATTTTAAACTTTTCATGTTTGACATTTTTCATAGCAACAGGACAACTAAGTGTACATGGGATAATAAAGACAAGATATTATTATTATAAACATTTCTTTAGTTACTGTGTGGTCATGCTCCCATTTGATCTTAAAATCCTTTGGATTACGGGTTATTTTTTAATTTTCTTACATTGTTGTGAGGTTTGTGTATTTATACTTGCTCATAGATTGGCAGAACTAAGCAGGTCATGCTAAACCATACCTATTATGACCACCTTGGGTAAAATTTATCACATTCTCATAAAATGTTACTGTAGAAACTAATAAAGTGAAAGTACAAACTATTATGCCAATGAAATGGTATTTGGTGTAGTTTCTGTGGAGCAATACATAACTCAATGAAAAGTGGGAAGATGCTGTAAAATTGTGATTTAACTCAGCATATTATTCCTTTTTTCTTTTTTAAATATTGCATACCTTGTCCAATGGGTTTTTATGACATTTTTATACACGTATACAAAGTTTTCCAAATCATTTCATATCTTTACGCTTTCTGTCTGCCTCAGAGTCCCACTGATTGGCTTCCACTTTGCAAATGGATCCCTTTTCTACAGTTACAGTCTTTTTTTTTTAATGACTCAATGAGTTGCATTAACATTGTTTACTGTACAAAAGGGGAATGGTCATTTGTAGGAATGTGGGCAATGTGGACCTTGCCAGAGACATTTCTCTCTCTGTCTCTGTCTGTCTCTATCTCAGTCTTTCTCCCTCTCCCTCCCCTCTCTCTCCCTCTCCTCCCTCTCCCTCTCCTCCCTCTCCCTCTCCTTCCTCTCCCTCTCCTTCCTCTCCCTCTCCTTCCTCTCCCTCTCCCCCCTCTCCCTTTCCTCCCTCCTCCCGCTCCCTCTCCTCCCCCTTCCTCTCCTCCCTCTCACTCTCTGTCTCTCCCCTCCCTCTTACTCTCCCCCTCCCTCTCCCTCTCCCCCTCCCTCTCCCTCTCCCCCCCTCTCTGTCTCCCCCTCTCCTCCTCTCTTGCCCTCTCTCTCCTCTCTCTCCTCCTCCTCCTCCTCCTCCTCCTCCTCCTCCTCCTCCTCATCTCCTCCTCCTCTCTTTCTCCTCCTCTCCTCCTCCTCCTCTCTCCTCCCCTCTCCCGTCTCTATTCCCCCCCTCTCTCTCCCCTCTCCCCTCCCTCTCTCTCCTCTTTCTCTCCTTTCCCATTTCCTGTCTCACCTCTCTGTTCTTGCCCCTCTCTGTCTCTCAAGCACCTAGCTAAGGATACATCTACAGAAATGCATGATGAGATAATTTTCCTTCCATGATAGGTTTTTTGTAGACGCTGTCTTGGATAACTGATGTGCAGACACTCATTGCTTCCATGAGTTCAAGACTACAATGGCCTACGTTCAATGTTTCACAGGACTTTTCACACCCTACACCCCATCTAGCTTTTTCCTTCTTCTGCTGTATTTTGTCGTCCTTACAGAATCCATTTATGGCTAAGCCTATAACAGTCACACTTTCTTAATTCTTTCTCTTCTCATTTTTCTGGCTAATGTCTTTTAGGATGTGGTCCAAATATTCCTTTAAAACTCCTGTTGGAATGTTACTGTTAACTATCTCAGTGGCCCTGTATATGTTTCTTCTGTAATTATCATTGACACTACTTTAATATTTTCTCTCTTTTGCAAAAGCAAACTGTCAGTAAATTTACAACTATAGTAAAATTATCACTTCTCCATGATCTTTACCTATACTTTTAGAGCTGATGAAATACCATTATGCATTTCGGTCTACACCAGTACACCAAGCAGTCCCATGGTGCCAACTCTGAACCCAATTCCAGAACCTAGAGGTAGCTGGACTCCCAGGAGCTCTAACATACATAGAAACATAGGATAACAAGATAACAGGATCTCAGGAGCTTGGTCACACCAGGATTTCAGGATCTCAGAAGCATCCTGATTCCAAGGAGCTGTTACACCCAGGATCTTAGGATCCCAGGATATCAGAGACAGCTGAAGTCTAAGGGGATCTGACAGGATAACCAAGATAAGAGAACAGACATGCTCAAGTAAGAGACAGTGAGTGAAGGTAGAACTAGAGATAACCAGATGGCTAGTGACAAGCTCAAGCACATAAGAAACAGAGACCAAGGTTACTTGGCTTTATCAGAACCTAGTTCTCTTACAATAGCAAGTCCTGAATACCCTATGACCCCAGAAAAGAAAGAGCCTGATTTATCACTTCTCATGTTGACAATTGAAGAATTTAAGAAGGACATAAATAACTCCCTCAAAAAAATAAAAGGAAACACAAAAATCCTTTAAAGAATTATAAGAAAATACAACCAAACACGTGAAGGAATTGAACAAAACCATCCAGGACATAAAAATGGAAGGAGAAACAATAAGGAAATCAGCAAGAGAGACTACCATGGAGATAGAAAACCTAGAAAAGAGATCAAGAGTCATGGATGCAAGCATCATGAACATAATACAAGAGACAGAAGAGAGAATCTCAGGTGCAGATGATACCATGAAAAAAACATTAACACAACTGTCAAAGAAAATGCAAAAAGCTTCTAACCCAAAACATCCAGGGAATCCAGGACACAATGAGAAGACCAAATCTAAGGATAATAGGTGTAGAAGAGAGTGAAGACTCCCAGTAAATATCTTCAACAAAATTATGGAAGAAAACGTCCCTAACCTAAAGAGATGCCTATGTACATACAAGAAGCTTACAGATCTGCAAATAGATGAAAATATAAATTCCTCGCATCACATAATAATCAAAACACAAAATGCAGAAAAAAATAATATTAAAAGCAGTTAGAGAAAAAGGTCAAGTAACAAATAAAGGCAGACTAATCAGAATTACACCAGACTTCTCACCAGAGACTATAAATGCTGGAAGATCCTGGAGAGATGTCATACAGACACTAAGAGAACACAAATTCCAGCCCAGGATACTATATTCAGCAAAAGTCTCAATTACCATAGATGGTGACACCAAGATATTCTGTGAAAAAAAAAAACAATTTTACAGAATATCTTTCCAAAAATCCAGCCTTACAAAGGATAACTGATGGAAAATTCCAACACAGGGAAGGAAATTATACCCTAGAAATACCAAGAAAGTAATCTTCCAAAGAACTAAAAAGTAGATAACCACAGGAACATAACTCCACCTCTAATAACAAAAATAACAGGAAGCAACAATCTCTTAATATTTCTTAACGTCAATGGACACAACTCTTCTATAAAACGACAAAGAATATTGGGTTGGATTCACTAGCTCCCAACATTTTGCTGCATGCAGGAAATGCACCTCAGTGACAAAGACAGACATTATCTCACAATAAAAGTCTGGAAAACAGTTTTCCAAGCAAATGGTCCCAAGAAACAAGGTGGAGTAGCCATTCTAATATCGTATAAAATCAACTTTCAACTGAAAGTTATCAAAAAAGATAAGGAAGGACACTTCATACTTCCAACAAGATGAAATTTCAATTCAGAACACCTATTCTTCAAGTGTAAGGGCACCCATATTCATAAAAGTAACTTTACTAAAGCTCAATGCACACATTGCATCTCATACAATAATAGTGGTAGAATTCAACACCCTACTCTCATCAATGGACAGATCATGGAAACACAAACTAAACAGAGACCCAATAAAACTAAGAGAAGTTATAAACCAAATGGATTTAGCAGATACCTATAGAACATTTCATCCTAAAACTAAAGAATATACCTTCTTCTCAGCACCTCATGGTACCTTCTCCAAAATCAACAATATAATTGGTCACAAAACAGAACTCAACAGATATAAGAAAACTGAAATAACCCCATGCATCCTATCTGATCACCATGGACTATGGCTGGTCTTCAATAATGCTAAAACCAATGGAAAACCCACATAAACATGGAAACTGAACAACAACCTACTCAATGATAATTTAGTCAGGGAAAAAATAAAGAAAAAAATAAAAGACTTTTTAGAATTTAATGAAAATATGTACACATCATACCACAACTTGTGGAGCTCCTTGAAAGCAGTACTAAGAGAAAAACTTATAGAGCTAAGTACCTACAAAACGATACTGGAGAGAGCATACACTAGCAGCTTGACTGTATACCTGAAAGCTCTAGAACAAAAAGAAGCAAATACACCCAAGAGGAGTAGATGGCAGGAAATAATCAAACTCAGGGCTGAAATCAATAAGTACAAACAGAAAGAACTGAACAAAGAATCAACAAAACCAGGAACTGATTCTTTGAGGAAATCAACAAGATAGATAAACCCTTAGACAGAGTAGCCAGAGGACACAGAGACACTATCCAAATTAGTAAAATCATAACTGAAAAGGGAGACATAACAACAAAAACTGAGAAAAATAAATAAAAATCGTCAGATCCTACTATAAAAGCCTATACTCAACAAAACTGTAAAATCTGTATGAAATGGACAATTTCCTACACAGATACCATGTACCAAAGTTAAATCAGGATCAGATAAACCAAAATAATCAAAATAATCCTATAACACCTAAAGAAATAGCAGAAGTCATTAAATGTCTCCCCACTAAATAAAGCCCAGGACCAAATGGTTTTAGTTCAGAATTCTATCAGACCTTCCAAGAAGACCTAATACCAATTCTCTATAAAGTAGTCCACAAAATAGAAACAGAAGGAACACTACCCAATTCGTTCTATGAAGTCACAATTATGCTCATAGGTAAACCAAACAAAGACCCAACAAAGAAAGAGAACTTCAAACCAATATCTCTTATGAATATCTGTACGAAATCCTGTGTCATTCAAAATCCAGTATAACTCCATGGTGAATAGACTCAAGAAAGTCCTTCAGGGTAATGAGCGTCAAAAATACGACCGCCCCCAAAGGTCATTTACTTCTGCCTTATTCTAGATAGTTAACTTATTGTCTACCACTCCTAAAGATCACACTTCTGAGCTTTCCACTGACTACATTTTTTTGAGACCTAACAATGAAAAATAATAATTCCTTGAGTATATTGAAGATTGTAAATAATGCAAAATATCAGCAGCATAAAGCCCCAAAGTGAGACTATCAAGAAGTAGGGTGTGTTTGATATTACAAATTCTAATTAAAGGTCTAATTTCACAATAAGTACAGTTTAATTATAGGAAATAGTATGAGCTATGTTACTGGATTGACAGAAATGATTATTATAACATTTTAAGTAAAAGTCATATTGAAGGTGGCCAAAGCAATGTTTAGAATATCAAATACATGAAGTTGCTTTTCCTACATTCTTATATGAAAACAAGATTTCAACAGACGATCAAAAGAGTGAGAATGACTTGGAACTGGACAGGTCCTCAGCAATTAAGAGAACTGGATGTTCTTCCGGAGAACCTGGATTTTGTTTCCAGCAGATAATTGTCAGCTCAAACCTATCTGGACCTCCAGGGAAACTGACAAATTCTGTGACCTAAGCAGGTAACAGCATTCATATGCTATCTATGCATGTATACATGCAAAACATTCATACAGATAAAACATTTTAAATGTTATGTCATATAAACACCCTCCTCTTTCCCCAATTGCAATTTAACCATTATAAATAAAAGGCAGCAATAAACTTGAGGGTCACTAACTTAAGCCTAGTCTCCCAGACTGGCCAACTTTAGCCTGTCATGAAGTCACCCTAGCTCTGGCTAACTCAGCCCTCTCACTTCAGTAATAAGCTGTGATGAGGAGATGTAAGCCAAATAAGCCATTTCCTCCACGAGTTGCTTTGGTCATGGTGTCTCATCACAGCAATAGTAACGCTAACTAGCATGGTGATCCTAGCTTGTGAAAAGAGAGCATGATTGTCTTCCCTCTAAAACAGCACTGGAAAGAGGGATCCATATGGGAGTGTTTAGGAAGACAAGACATGGAAGTGAGTTTTCTTTGTATAAGCTAAAATGAATGCATAGTCAAAAAGATTTATGCACATAATCTCAGCTAGAACAAAATGTATACAGCTAGAACAAAATGTATAAAGCATAGATGACATGGAAAATATTCAGTAGGAAGAAAAGATTTTTGCTGCTGTGATTCCTCAGCATTGATAACAGCCTTTTATATATTCAGTTTTACATTTTAAGATTCTCTCTCTCTCTCTCTTCTCTCTCTCTCAATCTCTCTCTGTCTCTGACTCTTTCTCTCTCTCTCCCTATGTGTGTGTGTGTGTGTGTGTGAGTGTGTGTGAGTATGTGTGTGTGTGTGTGTATGTGTGTGCGTATGCGTGTCTGTGTTTGTAAGCCAGTACTATTAGAGAACTGAAGAGCATATCAGATACCCCAGAGGTGTATTTATGTGTAGTTTCTGGCTACCTCTTATACATGCTTGAAACAAAACAGGTCCTCTGTAAGGGTAGTATGTGTTTTTAATTACTGACTAGAATGTTTGATATTTATAAGACAAATTCCTGAGGATTCTACCATTTCTGACCAGAATACAGAATACTGTTAAGAGAACAAAGTAAGGAAACGCTTTTCATTCTTTTCTCTTTTTTTCTTTTCAGTAGTCAGCTTCTCATTGAAGCAAATATCAGTTCTATAAACATGACACATTAAAACATGTATAACATATACTTCTTATATTCTGTGTATTACATAGTATGTAACTATTTTAATATTAAAATATTCATGCTTCATATTAACTACTTTTAGACTTTATATTTTATAAATGTCATAAATATACCATACGTTATAAACTTCAAAAACATTCATTTACATACATATGCCCATGAATACATCTTCCTTATTCATCTTGTCTTGTTAAAATCCACTTTGACATGTAAACACAGCCTGTACATGATAAGGAAGGCCATGGAACAATAGTGTTAGAAATATTCTCCAGGGACATTTCAAGTAGATCTTATTTAGTAGGAACAATAAAAGAGTGTGGAATACACATTGAACAATGTCACAGCATTGCTATCTTTGTAAATACAAATGGTAGTCCAAGAGTAGCATATAGCTTTTGGAAAGGATTACTTTTCTATTTACATTTTCATTATGTGTAGGCTTATGCGTGTATTTTAACTTATATGGGCCCGTGCTATGAATAAAATAAACAGAATGATTAAAGTATCTGGTAGAAAATAAAATGACTTTCCAGACTTCTCTAGAGATTTATAATATCAACAAAATTGTATAAAAGAAATAATTTTATAAATTATCCCACAATATTGCTTCTTTAAAACATGTCATCTAGAATGATAAAACAAAGCTACAGATAGTTACTAAGTATGGTTACATAAGCATACAGAAGAAAGAATACACAGATATACCTCATTATCTATTCTCAATTCTGTGAACTATTAATTTAAATCAATATTGATTTAGTATATGATAATATATTTGAAAAAAAAAGCCCTCACCTGTCATTTGTCTTCCCGATCTAATAATTTCATATTTAGAGAAAGGAAAAGCAAATACAATTGATCCAAGTCCCATTAAAATGCAGGAAGCTGCCACCCATTTTGGCCTGTTCCCTTTACTTCCAAAATGGGCTATAAATATTGCTACTATGAAAGACACAAGATAATCACTGTAGTCCATAAAATATGACTCCATCTTCGACAGAAAAAAATGAGCCCGATATATGTTTAAAGTCATATCAACAAGAGCGAATGAAGCACCTAGAAAGACAGAAGATAAAAGTCAATAAAGCTAATACTAACAGACAAAACAGATCTCTATTATGCTCAAAGAAAACTTATACTGATACAAGTTTATTTTATGATATTATGACTCATTAAAATCTATAAAAATAACAATAACTTTAATGAAATATTTTTACCTGAATAGAAGAAGCTATCTTAACTACCTCTGTTAGTACTCTTAAATTACATTTGAATCTTCTCATCACTTTTTAAATGCATCATGTACCAATTTTGGAGAAGTAATAAATAATATAATGGATGTTTAGTTATTTTCACTAAATGGAAACTATATGGACATTTGAACCTAGCTTTGATTTCCAAATATAACCTGTTCCATAGCTAGAATTCTCTGCCTGAAGTTTGAAGTTTCTGTGAATTTTCCATCTTAAAAGAAAAAACATAATGTATACATTCAATATACATGTTCTTAAGAACATGAAATAAATGATAGCATTATCTGTGTACAATCACCCTGCATCATATAAAAAGGAAAAAAAAATCACACTAAGGGGAAAAAATAAAAGGAATAGCTACCAGAAAATTCTATTTCTTGGAGTGAAAACAGAAAAAGGTTACAAATTCAAACTCATGGTGTGTCTGCAAAGTGGCAGGAGCACATGTCATTGCTAAAGCAAACATTGCTGCTGCTGCACAGTTTCCTCAAACACTCCTTGGATTGCAGGGATCCAGGAATCCATAGGCTCTTCCTAAACCTCCTAAAGCTCTGAGAGCCAACTGATCCCCTGCTGGTCTACAGCCCCAGGGCCAGACACAGGAGCACAGCGCAGGTGAAACATTCAGGATTGTTGCTGATAGAATATCTGTCCCCTTCTTTACCTCCAAGAACCTCAATCACTCAGTGTTGCTCCTGCCAAAATCACCACCCAAATCAGAAAAACACAGAAGATTCTGCCTACACTTTTGGTACCTACTTCTCCAGCTTCTCACTGACAGACAACTGGCAGGAAACCAGTAGGGAAATGTAGATTCCAGATTAATAGAATTACTTGCAAATTGAAGTTCAGAAGTAAATCAGTAGAGTTTGGGGACTACAGACAAGAAGAATGAAATTTTTCTGTATTACCAAAAATTATTAGTAAAAATATGTAACTAAAATAATAGAAGAGAAGGAGTAGGAAGGGGAAGAAGAGGGAGAAGAGAACATATGGGTAAAAGCACTCATGAGTTTCTTCCTGAGGTCTGAACCATTTGAAGTCTCACCACACCTCAATTTACATGAGGAAACAAACTCCAGGCAGAAATCTGGGCTGTTGAGAGAGTTTCAAACTTGTAACTTGTGAGCAGAAATCATGATGGCAATGCTGTTCTCAATTTTATCTCCAAAAAATTCAACCCGAACTTAAGTTTATCATTAAAAAATATGCATTAACTCAACACCACCTTCTCTTCAGTTCTCTATCTAGAGGCCTGAAGCTGAAATCCACAGTATGGAATGCATCCTGCCTAGCAAGGAGCCAAAGACTGAAGGCAAAGGCAGAGGACTGGGTTAACTGGTCTTCATTCATGTTTGGAAATTGAGTCAGAGGTCATCCACCATCTCCTTCCCACAGTGTGTCTGCCTCATGTCTACCTCAGTGACTCCCCTCACCTGAACAACTCTGCTCCTCCAACTTACCATAAGTTAAGACCACTGCAACATACAAAATCATAAAGTAATCAATGTTGTTGAAACGCTGTAAAAAAGGCAAAACTATAGGGCCCAACCCGAATGGCCCCTCCTGAGAAGCACTGTATCTTGAATCTATTAGCAACAGTTCGGCACTTGTAGGAGACTTTTTCTTTGTTGGGAGCATTGTAAACCTCTTCTTGGCAGCTGGAATTGTTTTCAGATACGTTCCTATTTTCTGGACTTGCTCAGTTTGAAGTTTGGGTTTTTCATCCTTCTCTACTACCAGAGCCGCCTTCTTGCCACCTGCCTTTTTTTTCTGGACCTGGGCCATGGCTTATCCAAAGTAGCTCCGTGAATATTGCAGGTATGTTTCGAGATACCTGTGTACTTCCTAGTCTCAGGTGACTTACTCTGTCTGTAAGAGAGCTGCCACTCTAACCTCTGAAGAGAACATTATTTCGAGTGCAGAAAGCCAACGTCCTTACAGAATGATGCGACAGAAGTTCCAAACCTGGATTCCATCTTATCTCTATCACAGATAAGGAAAGAAGAGGAAGAGAAGGAGGGAGAAGAGGAAGAGTAGAGTGGAGGTGAATATGATGAAACCATGTTAAACAAAAAGTTCGAATAAATATTAAAAATATTTAAAAAGGAACTGGGAGGAATAAATATGTAAGCAAAGAAGAAGAAACCAACCATCAGTATCTCCAGGCTTCCTTCACTGTGGTGTCTCTGCAACAGGACAATCTCACTAAATACAAATTCACTAAAGTAATAAGTAAACAAGTAAATAAATAAATATCACGAACATGAAAGGTCTTATCCTTATCCATTGTGATGGAAGAGCTTGAAGAACAAGCAAGAATCTGAATAAAAAAATTTCAAGCAGACTTTGAATGAAAAGCTTACACTGAGAAAGAGTTGTCCTGAAAATTCATCTCCAGCCAAGAGCAAGAAATCAGGTGTATATTCTACTATAAATGAAGGAGGCAGGTGTATATTTTACTATAAGTGAAGGCGGGGGCTGCAGAGAAGCACTAACATTCCTGGGGAAATATGTCATTTAAGAGAAGGACCACGGTATATGTTATGAAACATGTTTTATATAAAAACATAATTTCAGATCGGCTTTCTTCTTAGGCTGAAACTGACTCACGTGTACGCTGGAAGTATCTTTCTAAGTGAGATGAACCTACCTTCTCTCTTAAGATGTAGACATGTTATCAGCAGGAGAAACAACTGACTGAATGCAAGAAACTAATATGCATTTCATTGAAAGAAAATATTAGTTTTTCTTACCTTAAGAGATTTTATTTTTTAATCATACTCACTTCATGAGTAACAGCACATGCTTAGTTTAGTATGGAACATACTTAGTCATAGATAGATCCCCTCACATGTTGTATAATTATATTGACGAGCAAAGATTAAATGAGTTTCTTAGAGATAAAACATGTGGCAAGGTAAGAATAATTCTCTTCCTCTGATACTAGACTGTTCATTACCTAAAGACAGAAGAAGAAAGATAGCTATGCAAATACAAAAATCACTGACTATTTTGTTTCTAGTAATAATATAAAAATCCAAGAGAAAACTACTACTGTCTATCAACAGCAGTCAATTCTGATCCTACAAAAACAACATTTTGGAGATCTAGCATAGACTAAATTATTAGTTATCAGGTGAATTCACTCCAAAGAGTAAGAAGCTATTAGGAAACAGTTCAGAGAATTCATGTGTCTGTTTGAAAGGACACACAGATGGAAAGAGCCATGGGAAAATGGAACATGGAAGCATGCAAAAGTTTTAATGACTTACTTGTTTACAATTACTCAAAGGTTTTCTTTGTTGTTTGTTTGTTTATATGCTACTGTGAAAGGTGTTTCGGTGATTTTTTTTTCCTCAGTCTGTCATTTGTACATACAAAGGCTACTCATTTTTGTGTGTTGATTTTGTATCCCGCTGCGATGCTAAAAGTGTTTATCAGCTGCAGAAGTTTCCTTGCAGTTTTGAGTTACTAGATATATATAATCTTATCATCTGCAAGTAAAGATAATTTGACTCCTTTCCTTTCTGTTAGTATTCCCTTGATCTCCTTCAGTTGTCTTATTGTACTAGCTAAGAATTCAAGTACTTTCTTGAGCACATATGGAGAGAGTGGCATCTTTCTTTTATTTGAGATTAAATGGAATTGCTTTGCGTTTCTTCCTGTTAATGCTGATGTTAGCTGTAGTAATGCTGTAAATTTCCTTTGTAAGTGGAGATACATCCCTTGTGTCCCTAGTAGGGAATGTTGGATTTGTTAAAGGCCTTTTCTGTATCTAATGATATTATCATGAGGTTTTTGCTTTTTAGTCTGTTTATGAGGTAGATTAAATAAGTTGAATTATACATGTTTTCACATCCGTGCACCTCTGGGATGAAACCTGTTTATTCTGTTGGACAATCTTTTATTTTTATGTTTGCAAGTATCTCACAGAAGACATTAAATTTTATTTGGGAATCCATAGCTTCTTAGAGACACATAATATCCTGTGAAGGGTAACTCCAGTTAAAATCTTACATGAATCAAGATATAAAAGGAAGATAGAAAATAAATACACAGGCAGATGATAGATAGATAGATAGATAGATAGATAGATAGATAGATAGATAGACATTGATACACATATACATAGATGAAAAAAAGATGGAAAGAAAGAAATGTGTAGAACATTTGAGAAGACCTCATGGAACCTACTATTAAACATACATAATACCTATAAATTAGTTATTCAACACATTCCTCCTCTCTCATACAGTACCTAAACTTTTTCCACTTAAACATACCTCCCATTACTCATTTTCCCTTCCTTCATATAACCTACATTATATTATTACCCCTCTGTCTTAGCGTTTTACTGCTGTGAACAGACTCCATAATCAAGGCAACTCTTAGGAGGACAACATTGTTTTGCAGCTGACCTACAGGTTCAGAGGTTCAGTCCATTATTATCAAAGTGAGAGTTTGGCAGCACCCACACAGGCATGGTGTTTGAGGAGCCCAGAGTTCAACATCTTGTTCTGAGACAAACAGGAGAAGACTGGGTTCCAGGAAGCTAGGAGGAGTGTCTTAAAACCTATGCCCACAGTGACATACTACTTCCAGGAAGGCCAAAACTACTCCAAGGAGGCCACATCTCCAAGTAGTGCCACTCCCTGGGCCAAGCATATTCAAATCACCACATCCTCCCTTAAGGTCTTTTTTTCTCTACCCAGCAATGATCCCTAGTTTCCTGAATTCTACAGGTACTCTAAATTAAACACTCAAGTCAAGATTTTGATGTTAAGATTCATTAATGCCAAGCCTTGGTCACACAGGCCTTTAATCCCAGCACTGGGAACTCAGAACTCTAGAGGCATAGGCAATCAGAGAATCAGAGTTGTGTGAGTTGGACCTATTCTTGTTAAAACCAAGCAAACAAAACCAAACACACACACACACACACACACACACACACACACACACACACACATGCAAGTATGAGTGAGAATGTGATTGCTGCCTTTCTGGATTTTGTTAAATCATGCAATCTCCCAGATCCAGTTATATATCTGTTGATTTCATTTTTTTTAATACTTGGAGGAAATTCTATTGTCATGGTTTCACCTTCTATCAATCAGTTGATAGACATCTATGCTGTTTTCATGCCTTAGCTATTATGAATGCAGCATTAATTAACATGGATGAACATGTAGAAAATTGAGTCCTTGGGGTATAAGCCCAGGAATATACAGTAGACTTAATTCTTTTTTCTGAATCACCTCAACCCTGATTTTCTTAGTGTCTGTACCAATTTGAACTGCCACCAAATTTTATGAGAGTTCTCTGTTTCCCATATCCTTACTAGTATTTGTTATCTTCTTTTCTTAGTGTGTTAAGCTTAAATAATGCCATTAAGTAGTCATTTTAATTTCTATTTCCTTGATGGCTCCAGACAATGAACACTTCAAAGATATTTCTTAATGTCAGCATGCACCTCTTGGCAACAGCAGCTCATAGAGGCAAAGAGAAGGGGGGAAGAGGGTGAATGGGATTGGGGGAATTGTGGAGGGGTACAGGAAGGGGGATACATTTGAGATGTAAATGAATGGAATGATTAATAAAAAAATATATTTATTACTTGTTGCATGTGTCTCTTCTTTTGCTAATTCTATCACATTCCGTAGCCCTCAATGAATTTTTTCCTTAGACTTCAATTTTATTTGTTTATTTGTATTATTTATTATTATTATTATTATATTCACTTTATGTCTCAATTGTGCCTCCATTCCCTGTCACAAACTTACAAACCCTTCCCCCACTACCCCCTCAAGTTTTTTTAAGTTCTTTGCATGTATTAGACACCAATTATTTTTAGAATGATTGGCTGGAAAATATTTGGTTTCCCATTCAGTATGCTGTCACCTTAGTCAGTTGACAGATTCCATTGCAGTACAAAAGCTTTTAAATTTCATTATATACCATTTGCAGAATATTATTTTTCTGTTTCTTTGTGTTTTTTTTTCTGTTTCCTGTGCAGAAAATTCTTACTTGTGACTAAATCATAAAACAAGTTTCAGAATTTGAAGTTTAATGTTGAGATTATCAATCCATTTGGAATTAGTATGTGTGGGAATGAGGCAAAAGAGTCAACCATCATTGGATTACCTATGGTTATCAAGTTTTTCCAAACGCTACTGGTAAAGATGCTGGCTGTCTTTTGTCAGATTTCAGTTTTCAGTATGTTTCTAAAATCCAGCTATTAAGTCTGAATCTATTACATCTGAATCCTCAAATTCCACTAACAAACTACTGATAAATGTGTCTTTTTTTTTTGTACCATGCTATGTTTCTTACTATAGTTCTTTAATATAGCTTGTAACTAGGAATGGTGATCCCTCCAGTAGTTTATCTTTTGTCTGTTGTTTTTCTGCACAGATTTTAAGATTGATTTATATTTCTGTGCAGAATTGTATTGAAATTTTGATGGTTTACAGAGAATCAGTACAATTTTTTAGTGTTTTAAAGTTTTCACAGTGTATCTATTTCACTTTCTTGCTTTATTCCCAGGTTTATGTGTTTGTTCACTGTAAGATTACTGGAAATGACATTGTTTTCCTGATTTCTTTCTTAATATACCTTTGTTCTCCAGGGAAACAATGGATTTGAATATGCTAATTTGTAAATTCCACTTTGGTGAATGTGATTATCAGCTCTAAGAATTTCCTATTGTCTTTGAAATTTACAATCAGCTTATCTAGGGACACTGTGACCTCTTCCTTTCCTATTTGTAGGCCTCTCATTTCCTC